CCCCAAAACCCCAAAACCCCAAAACCCCAAAACCCCAGGAGAAACTATAAATATAGAGGATTTCTATCATAATTAAATTTACTCAATGATCAATATATTTAACAATTTCTGCCTTTGCGACGTCTCTGTTAAGTTACAACAACATCAGTTATTACAACCAATGTCTCAGCAAGAGCAGTCTCAGTGGAGGACTGGATGGGAGCCTCAACTGTCACTTTCTCAGCTCAACCAAAGCCAGTACTCAGCTGTTCCAGCAATCGGAAGAGTGCCTTACATTTGTCAGAAACAAGTCAAAACTATTAACACATACGACTTCTCGAAGCACCAACAGAAGCTGAAGGCCAAGCTGTACTCATTGCTGGGAACTGGCCTTGCATTTGTCACAGCCAAGAAGAAGGCCAACCTGTGTAAGGGTAAGAAAGTGAGCAAGAGAAGGTCTAAGTACACCGGAGTTACCAAGAACTCAATCAACTATCAGACTCTTATCGTGGTCGGAGGCAAGAAGACTTATGTAGGTTCGTTTCCACTTGAGCTGGATGCAGCGATCACCTTCGATTTTTACTCAATGATGCTGCACAGCGACAAAGCACCTACCAACTTTGCTTGGAAGGCCGAAGACATTCTTGAAATGGTGGAGAGCTTCAACTTAAACGGAGGAGTGTTTGAGCCAGCCAGGTTCCATTCCAAGCTTATTAATTCATCATAAATTTACCCTGAATCTTTTCTTAAACTCAGTAATTTTCAGATTTCCCCTCTTTGTAGTATCAAGTATTATTTCCAATGATATGATTTTATTGATGAAAACTCTTCGATAAATTATCGATGGAGTGGAGACTCCTAGAGCCAAGCTTGATAGGTCCATTTAGAAGGTTGACGTCATTGCTTTAATGTTTAACCCTAGATGTACTTGTGCTTGGAGTTTACAAATCCTCTTCTATTCAAGTACTTAAACTTTCACTGAAATCTTCTCATCTTCAATGTTATAACTTTATGGTCTTGTTGTTAGTTCTTCAGAATGAAATATGCATAGCTTTAAAAACAGTTGAGAATAAATTTTCTAACCTTGCCTGAATTAATAAATCGCTTATTGAGTTGACCATGAGACTGGCCATCCAAATTCTAAACATATATGTAGCTTTCTTAGTGATTAAGTGACCCTTAGCCAAGACTCCTAGATGAGGGTGAAGTGTCATTATAAGCCTTTATGCTGCTCATTGTTTTGCTCTTAATCTTGAATCTTAATCTTGCCATAATATTCTACACCATTTTGGTTGTTCTTTGTCCTCTTTTATTCCAAATATCCAGGAATCAGACTTAAGCGAAGAGTTATACAATTGATGATTTTTATTGCTTACCTAGTGAAGCTGAAAGCAAGGTGAGACTTAACTCGATATTTAAGGATTTTGCAAAATTAAAGGCTTATCCTAAAATTCTTCAGCGCTGAAATCGTTATATTTTGTTCTAGACTGGGCTGGGCAGCCAGAAAAAGTTGTCTAAAATTTCATGCCAAGTGTTTCAGCAATGGCTGCCAGTATTTCTCAAGTAATTGGCTAGCTTGTTGGGTTCTCGTCTACAATTGGAAATGCAATAAATTTTTCATACTTTTCGTTTGTTCAGATTATTAAATAAGTCTGAAATACAAACTTAGTTATTGGCTTCCAGCAAGAAACACAAGAAGACCAAGCTCTATGCTTCTAATGAGCAGAGAGGTTGCTCTGATCCGTCTTCATGCACTCAGCTTCTGTAGTTGACCAGGTTGATAGTGAAGTACCTGTATAACTCCAGGCACTGCTAGTGCTAACTTAGGTTCACAGTTTGCAAATGAAATCGCCTTTGCATCAAATTAATAAAAATTATGAAATACGTAGACCCAGTTTAAAGGCTCGGTAGGCCAATTTCTCTTATCAAAAAATCTTCATGGTAGAACTTGATTATTTGTTACCTTAAACCATCTGAGCAGCAACTAAGTCTGTTTGACTCCAACGCGAAGATGAAGGAAGGACTTGTTTTTGGATAAGTAGACTTACTCCAATAGCTCAAAAATTCAAGTTCTCTAAGGCTTTGGAACTCGAAACTAGGCAAATTCATATTTCACAAGTCCTAGTTATAATATTTGCTTTATTGTTCCACCAAATGCTCGATGTATTCTTCAGAGCAGAAAATTACGATTTTGATTGCTGTTAAGTTCCAGAGTCGACTAATATGGCTGATTTCGGTATATGCAATGTTGTGCTAATTAAAGTTAGAATAGGGATCTTTCAGGGATATTATAAGGCCTCCATGTTAAGATTGCAGCCAACACCTCGAGATTTCTAGATGAAGAACTTGACAGTTAATTCCAAGTTTATTACTAATTTGTTAGCTAAATCCTTTTGCATATTTTTTAAGAACTTGTTGCCATTATCAGTTCTTTTGCAAAGATAGAGCTTCAGATATTTTGAACTTTGTGTTGACTCAAATGTCTCCTTAGTCTAAATAAGAGCTTCTGAATATTCATAATAGTCATGTCAGAAATAGGAAAATCTATCAGGGATTCATAAGCCAAATTTATAACCCTAATATTTTCTCAAGCCTGGCAGCAATTTATTGCCTATGAGCAAGTAACTAAACTCAGAAACTTTGAAGTTCATTTTTGTGCTTCTATAGCCCTTAAGTTCCAATATGGCAATACTAATTGCTCTTGAAAAGTGGGGTCACAAATTGGTAGGTTAAAGCAGACTAGTTTAAGCCTGGCCTAGCCTGCTTTATATGAACACTCTAATAATCCCAACCCTCATGCAGCTCTGTTTATCACAATTTTTTAATAATAAAGGCTTGCACAGTTTGGAATACTCTACATTATAATAGCTGTTAAGGTGGTAGGGTTGGGTCCCAGTTTGTCTCTCAGGCTTTGATTGGACAAGGATCAACCTTTTAGTATTGTAGATGCTCAACAAGGCGTATTTAAAATTAGAATATGGGAATATTCGTTCATATTTCAATGGATCCTCAATTCTAAACTCAGGACATATTCTTAGAATTTGAGATACGATTTCTCAAAATTTCCTGAACTGACTTATCTTCAGCAATTGAGAGAACCCCAGCATTTTGTCAATGAGATCTTAAGCTTAGTTCAAGATAAGACAGAAAGTTTAAGCATCAGAGGTTTCTTGCTCTAACCCTTTTTGCGAATACTTGCTCTAAAATACTTTATTGTTCAAACTCAATTACTAGTATTTAATCATCTGAAGTAGGTGAGCACAATATCGATCATAGACTCACTCTCTTTATTAGACAGTTGAGTCAAGCACATTGATGTGCAAATTGGCACGGTGTGGCCAATCTCGGATATGCAAACTCATTTTTGACAATAATAGTACAGCTTTAAAATTATTGCTGAATTTGCTTCCTGTTTTATCGTCACCAGTTAAAAGATACTTTGGATGGACTCCTATGCTTACGCGAGTCTAGACGATAGACTCACCATTGCTAATCAATTTTTCTCGTATCTTTTGCATGCATCATCAAACACATTGCTCTTTCAGTTAGCCTTTGCTGATGATTCATTCAGCGAAGTTTAGGCTTAATCATAAATTTAGCAAAGTTGTCAGGCCCAGCATCTAACCAGCATCATTAAGACACAGGTAGCATATTTTCAAAACTTGCGATCAATTATAATCGAGACTCTCGGGCATGGCTCTGAATCATTTTTACCATCCGATATCACTTTTATTGCTATCTGTGAAGACAGCTCTGAAGACATAGGATGGATAGGTGGTGAACATCGCATTTAAGTTCATAAAATATGGAGGAATGCTGAATTTTATTCATTACTTGTGTTAAGGCTCAGATTGTGCACTCAAGCTTCACCAGTGCATTAGTATCCTTCCTGCTGGCCTACCCAACAAAACGAGCACATGGACACTTGCATCCCAGTCCAAATGCTAATGATCAAGAAGACTATTTTGGGTCAAACCTCGATAAAATTAATAAGCATTGTCACCAGTTCAAAGTATTTTTATTCAAAGAAATAAGTTTTGAAAATTCTCTGAGTTATTTGGCTCAGCAATATCTCCAAAGTGAGTAAAGCATCAGAAGGCTGCTCTTTGAGGCAAGCCAGCAATTCAGAAAATTCAGCAAGAAATGGAAACTCAGTAAATTGGCCTTTCGTTACCCAGCCTTTGGAGTTTTCTGCTTGAAGCTGTATGATTGCTAGCTTGACAGTTGGGGCTTGAGAAATAAAGCCTATGAAACTTAAGAGTTCAACTGACTAGCAATCAAATATTTTCGTATACCACAAAAGATTAGGAATTCATATGGGCTAACTAAATGAAATAGATTTAGTTGAGCTGGACTCTCGCTGAAATTTAGTTTCACAAAACAAATATGCCTTAATTTATGTCTGAAGGTTGGAGAAACAAAATAAATTTAGTTGGACACTGTTCTCTATACTTGACACTTTTTGATCTTCATCTAGTAAAGTTCAAACGGACAATAAAAGCTAGGTAAAGTGATAACTCAGACACATACAGCTCTTACTACCTCTGTAACGATGAGTGATGTCTGATGATGCTTATGGAAAGAGCCAATAGACTTCACAAAACTATTTTTAGACTTAAGGCAGGCTTTTAAATCTGAAGCAAACTTGCTTACAACAGATCTAGAAGGAGTTGAGTTTGATCCTTTTTATCAGCTAGTCACACAATCTGGCATTAATAGCTGTTGGAGGATCTACAAAAGCTATGGAGGTTATGCTTAGATTTGAAGCATATAGTATTGCGCCTTTCAGAATGACCCCAATTATGTCAAGCAAAGTTCCGGAGCAAAGATTGTTAAGAGATATATCAGCACAATAAATGCTGAACTATGAGAGGTAATGTGGAAACTAAGCTGATTAGTTCGAATTGAAGCGTATTTTTGGCTGAGAGTTCTTAGAGACACTTCAGACTCATTTCCTTGAGTTACCAGCCGATATAATCTTGCCAAAAACTTTCCTTCAGAAATTACCGAAGCCTCTCAAGGCTTTCCAATGCTACTCCCGTAGCTTAGGCTTTAAAGTAACTTCAGAATATTGCGGCTCTAATATATTTTTCAATAAGAAATGGTTGGTTTGTAGCGCTGGTCCACTCTTACTGCATTGAGAAAGAAAGTTTGCCTTAAACCAATATTTTCATCTAGGAATAGGAGAAGATTCATGATAAAACAGTATTAGATGAGGCCAGCTCAGAGACTTACAAACAGCCTCTCACTTGGGCAATTCCAAGATCAAATAATTTTTGCATCAAATTTTGATAAATTAGGAGCAACAAACTCCTGTATTTTCGAAGACTAGATGCTAGTTTTGGTTATGGAATCAAGCGAAAATTCATACTTTTGAGAGAGTTGTTTGCCCCTATGAGTATATAAAACCTTCTGCACTTTGAACAGCTTAACTAAGGATGTGCCAAATCAAGATGGCTGATACATATTTGATTCAACACAAGATCCTCAATGAGGGGTTTTGGGGTTTTGGGGTTTTGGGGTTTTGGGGTTTTGGGG